TGTGCCATTTTTTATTTCCTAATCTGTGAAAGTTGGAGGATTCATCCATTCTTGCTTGAAGGAAAAAAATGTGTGTGAAGATGTGTGCACATTTCACTGACACTTGGTCAAAGGGGCGGGGCTAAGCTGCAAAATGAGACTGAAGGAGAGGCTAAGCTACAGTATTTGTTTCTTCTACAACATTGTTTTACCTCAATCTAAACATTTTTTACTAATCATATAAAAGGGCCACAGGGGCCATATATTATTATATCATAGAGGACAGAATGAGGTCTCGAGTACTAAAAGGTAAAAGCTATTTCAGTCAAAAAGACTGAGGACTAGTAACTAAAGTAAATTTTTCCATTGACACATCTTGGTCCTCTGTCAAAGTAAATTCAAATCCACAGATATTCCAAAAATCCAAATATTCCCAAATTCAAGCAAATCATGTACTAACCATTTTAAAAGCAGAGGGAACTCACACAGGACAAACAGCAGCATGTGACCCGTCGAAGCTTCAAATTGGATTTTCATTTTTCCTTCATGGGTTTGTGTTGCATCACCTCTACTGCACATGATGTCATCCTGGAACTCTCCTATTTGAGTTTTCTATTTCTGTTGAAATGTTTTCTTTGATGTTTTCATCAGTGTTAATTTCAGCAACAAAGCTGTAATTCTGTAATGGTGTTGTCATTTCGTATTAATGCAGAACAAAACTGTAAACAATCATGAAGCCTCACACTGTAGCTGTAAGTAGGTAAGTAAGAAACTGGAATATTTATTTATACAGGACACAATCAAAAGACGCAATAGGGGCTCAGTAGGTAAAGCATTGGCCTTTGAGCCTGAAGGTTGTGGATTCGAGCCCACCACGAGACCTTCTCCATTGACTCCCGCGGATTTTGTGTCCTTGGGGACACAAAAACAGCGGACACTTATTCACGCTCATGTGGCACATATGTCAGCCCATAGAGAAGTATAACATCTCTGGATTTGATGTTCAATTACTGAGTTTTGGAGATGGAAAAAGAGCTGCTGTGTACTGGAGTGTGAATATAAAGACACAGTGACCTTGTCTTGTCTGAAGCTTTTTGATGCGTGATCATTAAGCCCGGAAATGAGCTGTCGGGATAGTATTGTGAGTAACTAATATATCTTATTACATCAGACGACGAAAGACGTCTGGAAGATGACAGTGTCAGACTGCTACGGTTTAGTTTAGCAGCAATTGTAGCTGGACGCCAAATTGTGCAATCAACAACCTGGATCCTCAGAATTTAATTGGTTTTTATCCAACATTCAACAAACTTGAGCACAAGAGGTGCATTTCCATTCCTTATACTGGATCACCTCCAAAATCAAATCATTTGTTACTTGTCCCAATGAATAAGAGTTGAGGGGAATGGACTAAGGACCTTTGCAGAAGCCCAGTCATTTAGTCAAACTTTCTTTGTTTTATCTATTGATATGTAATTTGCGCAATGGGGATGTATCACTTGTGGGCGACAGTGGCTCAGTTGGGAGAGCATTGGTCTTTGGGCCTGAAGGTCGTGGGTTCAAGCCTACCTACTTCACGACTCCCACTGATGTCTGCTGTTGTTGTGTTCTTGGGCAAGACACTTAACCCCACTTTGCCTGAAGCTTCCGATGAAAGATCAAGGCAGCTCAGACTAGAGCAGCCGTCTTCCCTGTCCGTCAGAAACATATTGTAACTCAAAATGTTTCAGTAGATTTCAATAAATGTCCCTCAAGGGATCTTCTAGTTTGCAGTATTAATTGTAGAGAATTTAAAGAGTAGAGCGGATCAAGAGTCCATTCAATGTATGTACAGATTTCCCTTTTGCTCAAGACCTGATCATCATGTGCACCCCATCAAGACTATTCGACTGTTGGAATAAAACATATTTTCTGATTGACTAACAAGGATTTAGCCCTTTTTAAAAAATTCCATGAGTAAAACCAGAAACAACATTTCTTCTCAAATAACCAGAATAGTTCATATGCTTGTAAGTATTTCTGTTTTCAATCTTACAGCCTCAAAGAGAAGCCAAAAGGAAAGCGAAGGCGGGGGAGAAATGATTAATCATTGACCAAGTGGGCAGCGAGCGGCAGAGCTAACAGCGCTAGCCTCGCCGTCTCCTCACTTTCATTTCGCAAACACAAAAAGAGGCCATCACAGGAGGAAAGACAGACAGAGCAGAGTCAATTTGCTCAGCGGGCCGGGCTTATAGTTGCACTGCTATGATAACTATAAATACATACTTTTATTCAACGTAATCTGACAGAGCGCGCTTGGCAGGAGGGGGATCGCTGCCACCAGGACTTAGAGTCAATTTCCCTGGCCTTTTCAAGAGCTCCTGAATAGGACTGGCGGGGGCATAAGAGTAGCGCGGGTGCATTGTGGAGAAGGAAGTGGTGTTTTTGATGTGAAGGACCCTTGTGTAAATGTGCTGCTGATGAGAACACAGGGAGATGCTTTGATTCACAGTGACCCATGTCTGCTCTGGCTCAGACTGTGACCTCTGCTTCCCCTGAGAGCCACAACGCTCTCGGAAGCCATAGACATGTATATAGATGAACAATGCTAAGCGCCACGCTTAATGAAGCCCAATAGGGAAGTGCTCATGGGTGAATTTTTTCTCTAAGTCCCTCTGTTCTGATTAACTTTGATTGACTTGACAGCTCAGTAACTGTTTGTGTCGACCACAACTTTTTGTTTAGCCTTCTCTATAGTCTTGCAATATTATTTTTGATATTCTCTCTTTACACCCAGATAGAAGTCACATGGATTGACCAATTACCTTGGCAAACATGTTAGCATAAGCCCAGACACAAGGCACCCGCACACAAAAGGCATACGCACATAAGACTGGCCTTAGCCATCCGTGCACTCCGGTCAATCATCATTTCCCTGCATGTACCGTCTGAGTCTGGTCCCTGTATTTGCAATCTCATCGGTTGAATCCCATCCGACCAACCAGCGAGCGAGGGAGGCGGGTGTGAATGGGCAGATTGTAGTATGGCAATGGCGATGAATGCGATAGTAAAGTATTCCGTTATGGCTCTATCAAGAAATTGAAACCGGAGCAAGAGGAATGTTTAGCAAATGTAATTGCTGGCAAAGATTTTGGTGCTACTCCCCACGGGATACATCAGCGGCAAAGGAGATGGCTAGGCTAAATGCTAAATGCTAACAACTTACTCTGGCGCATTACATACGTCACGGTAAACTCAGATCCAATCGTTTCAAACTGCAAAAGGAGTTAACCCCTCCCACCTGTTAACGGAGCTCAATGGAGCATATCCAGACCTTAGTACAAGTATGTAATTTGTACTATAGTGTGGTACGACCAGGCTAGAATGGACCTATTCTTTATCTCTATATAAAAGTCTTGCTTTTATTTTTTCCAACTTTACAGTGTAAAATGGCTGTACATAGATAGCATTCTTACTGAGTTGAAACAAAGTTATTACAATCCATCATCTAGCTGCCTGTGACACAAGCACTATGCTCCAAAGCACTGATTAGAGATGCAGACCAACTGCGGGGGTTTGTTAGAAACAGTACGTTCAGAGAAGTCAGGGGCATGCACAGTGTCTCGGGTGTGAGAGAATCAATGCCTCAAACAGGGATTGCGCTCAAAACACCTTTAAATTACTAGGGAACACAACTATTACGTTGCATTGTAAACTCGTGGCTTGGAAGATATTTTCTGCAAATATGATTAAAATAAACATGGTAATAAAGGCCCAAAGTAAATTTTTATTCAGTAATTGAGTACATTACAATTACAGATGAAACAGCAGTCTCATCTTATTTAAAATTGTAAATCATTGACATGTTTTACCCATTCGATGGGAGAAAGGTTTTTCATTTTCTTGCCCCTTTTAAAAATGAGACATTTTTGCATTTTCCCATAGCAAGACAGTCAAAATATACTCAATTACAGAAAAAAACAGTCACTTTTACAGTTTTCCCATTCTAAAATTGGGAAGTGAAAAAATATTTAGGCGACAGCGGCTCAGTTGTTAGAGCATTGGCCTTTGAGCCTGAAGGTTGTGGGTTCGAGCCCACCATGAGACCTTCTCCACCGACTCCCACTGATGACTGCTGTCGTTGTGTCCTTGGGCAAGACACTTAACCCCACTTTGCCTGAAGCCCCCGCTGGAAGTTCAAGGCTATGCCATAGAGCGGCCATCCTCCTGTGGACTCGTCAGGGAGGGGCTGGTGCTATGTGTACTGGGTGGCATCTATGTCCACCCCTCGATCCAGAAATGGATTAAGGGGAAGAAAATGGATGGATGGGAAAAAAAAATGTATCAGTGGGTCCCAGTCAAAGAAGTTTGAGAACCTGTACACCTATAGCCTGGTCGTACCACACCATAGTACAAATTACGTTTCGTACTAAGGTCTGGAGGTGCTCCACTGAGCTCCGCTTACAGATAGGAGGGGTTAACTTGAAGATTGAAACGATTGGATCTGAGTTTACTGTGACGTATGCAATGCGCCCGAGTCTGTCGTTAGCATTTAGCCTAGCCATCTCCTTTGCCGCTAAAGGAGCCCGTGGGGAGTAGCGCCACAATTTTCCAGCAATCGCATTTGCTAAACATTACTCTTGCTCCGGCTTCAATTTCTTGATAGAACCAGACCGGATTACTTTACTATTGCATTTTTCGCCATTACCAAACTACAACCTGCCTGTTCAACGCAAACTCTTGACATCACCCACAACTATCTACAACTCCCGCCTTCCGCGCTCTCTGAATGGTCGGCCGAAATTCAACCGATTGTAATCGCTAACATAGGGACCAGACCCAGACGTTACATGCAGTGAAATGATGATTGAACGGAGTGTACGGATGGCTAAGGCCAGGCTAGTTCACATATAGTTTGCAGCCAGCTTTAGACACAGGGGGATGCATTTCTCCTTTTCTCCTTCTTATCACAGCACAAACAGCAGATGTAGGGCAGAAGAAGGTCACAGAGAGAAAAGTGGGAAATATTCATGCCACGTTACCTTTGCGTGCGATGCGGATGCAGTTGATTCTGGATTCCTGAAAGAGAAGAAACACAGACATCAGACGGACGTGTCACTTTTGCATAACGGAGACGCGATAAAAGCAAAAGAGGCGACATGAAATACTGCGCCAGTCGTACACATATATCACAGGGGAAAGCAGATAAAACCTGCACTGAATACGCAATAAAGCATCTTTTACATCCAGGACGTAAACATGAGCTAATGCTGGACCACAAAAGGACGGAGTGTAGTTCCATTATGTTTAAAGCTGAGGTACCTAACTTTTTGGTTTGTTTTGTTTCCTTTTCTGTCATCATCTGCAGCCTCAGTCCTGGATCTACAGCCACAGTCCTTCATTTTGTATTTGTAGGCGATTGGCATCACATGTTTCTTTTAAAATATTGTTTTAACTCAATCAAAACATTTCTTAATAAAGGTCATTATCATGGAGAACAGACTCTGGTTATGTCCCCTTTAACTGTTCCCTGCACTTTGAGTTGTGCTAGTAAACTTGCCTTACCTTGACTTAACCTTTAAGACCTTGATTTTCTTTTAAATTACACCGTTTGTGTGTGATTTGGGCATATTCAAATCGTTCTAATTCTTTGAGAAACAAGATGTCACTGCTTCAATCAGTGAGAAGGAAAAATGAATGAGGACCCAATTAAAAACAAAAAATGTTCTTACACCAACCTTCAACAAACAAATTTACATCTCTCTCAATGTGATGAAAACAACTTGTCAAATGTTTGCTTATGGAACCCCAACAGTCTCTCAGAGCTTTGGGGAAATCTTAACCAATAAACATTTCTACCGATCTTATTTGAGCATTAAAGCATCATTATGTAAATTCAACTAGGGATAAAAAATATATAAAGGCTGCTATTCACAAACTTGCTAAATTGCTTTTCAACTTGCCACGTAATCATTATAATAGAAAATTGTGTATTTGGCAGTGACAAAACTCAATTATTAAACGCCAAGAGTGAAATATCCGGTGTGTGCTCTGTTCCCAGCTGCAATTGTACAAATCGCGAGGAGTGGGAAAAATAAAAGCGCTGACTCTAAACAATTAGGATGTATGCAGCTACGTCTGGGTCTAAAGCTGATTCATTAGAAGCTGTCTCTGCTGGAAGACACCTCCATCACTCATTATAACAGCTGCGGGACATTAGGACAGAGCGGGACATTATTTACAGCAGTGACGGCGCACATACAGCCTGATGCACAAGGGGGGAGGGGCTGCGATGAGGAGGTCCTACATCGCCATGGGAACATTTAAAGACCACATGACAGGTTCTCATGATTGTCTCACTTTTTTGGTGGAATGTCATCGGTTTTAAAAACAAATGTTTGTTTCACACTACCCACAAAAGTCCAACAATAGGAAAAGAAAGATTTACCTTAAGATAACAAAAAATGTATTCCAAGAATCCAAGAATAAATGTGTGTCTTACAAATAATGGTCAGAGCAAAATATTCTAATTCTAAACTAATTCAAGGAAATATTTAATTTAAACGTATCTTTTGAGGATACATTTTAGTAACAAAATATTTTTTCTTATTTAAACAGGTGTATATTTCACAAAATAAATATAAATAGTTAGTAGGTTAAGAAGTCATTGACCAATTCATAAACTAAACGATGAAGACCAAACCCTGGATTGGGCTGTGGATTGGTGGTGGATTGGCAGTTTGTGTGTGCCAATTCCAGCGCTCCTCTGCAATCCGTTTGGAGAGGGGTCTACAGCCTGAAGATATTGAGTGTTGAAGGAAATACATTGGTTCCACAATTATACTGCTTCTGTAAAGCACTAATTGAAACCATTTTAAATGTAATTAATTGCACATATCAAATTCCAGGTGTGTATATTACGTAGACCCAGCGACATGATTTCTTTTATCATTGTCGGAATAGATTCATGAACTTGTAATTAAGCCATCACTGTAGACACCATGTTTTAAAAATAGCAAATAATTATAACTGTGGTTAACAACTTTTCATTGCTCGTGGATAAGTAATCAAGCATCACAGGATTTTTCCACAGAAGTTGGTCCATGTAATCATTGCTTTTAATACACCTGGGGTTGTACTTTATAGTTTAATGCCTGATCTGAAGATGTGACAGAGGCCAAGTAACTAGTAAGGTAGATTATTATTGCATAGCTTAAAAATGTTTGTGTTTTAAAAATGTGTTAGTTCACACCAAATCAACCAACCAACCAAGTTGCATTGAGTTTGCACACATTTACGTACCCTTTAATGTGATCAGACAACATTGTCAGAACTTCACATGATTTTTGCAACCAACCAATTGGTGCAACTCTAAACAAAGATAATCATAGGTTCAAAGTAGCTCACTAAGTTAAAAAAGTAAAACACACACACACAGAAAAAATTTCACAAATAAAATACTGTTTATATTCACGTTTACCTCAACTTCTCTAATAAATAAACCTGTTCCCATAAAACTCCATATATTAGAACCCTGGTTAATGTCCTAATTTTCTAACTAGTGGGTTAGCATCAGCTGCTACCCACTGTTTGTGAACATTTGTGGGTGGACTCTATAAACTGTGGCCTGCAGAATTCCTGTTTTTTACTTTTTTTATTGTACTACAAGCCATTCCCTTATAAATTAGAAAAATACAAACAACTTAAACACAATTACAACAACAACAACAACTTAAAAACAAATGACCATTGACCACTTTTGGTTGACGCCATAAAGGCAATGTCAATATATGTCTCAAAGACTGGGGATCATGAGTGTGTGGGCTTCTACTGTGGCAAGCATATTTTTGGTAGGCTTGAGCCTGGCCAGAAGGACCTTTTGCTGCCCCCTGTAGAATCCAAGCTGGGAGAAGTCCTTCAATAGAAAGACCAGGAGAGAGCAGGCAACCAGGCCCGACAAGATTGCACCGTCCACCATTTTGGACCCCTTGACACTCCCAGACCACATGGAAGTGGGTCCCCAGAGCACCACTTTGGCTTGGTTTACACAACATGGTCTTTGAGGTGTCAGGTAGATTTATGTACAGAGTTTAGATGTAACAAAATGGTCTGAATTCCTTTTAGAATCATGTATTTATTGATGTTTGTATAGATGGATGTGTTTCTAATGCCAGACACCTGCATTTTTCCTACAGCGGATCGATAAAGCATCTATCTATCTATCCATCTATCTATCTTTATATTTATCTTTTTTATCTTTCAATGTATCGATCTCGCTCTGATCAGTTTGGTCCAGAGACATGAGGGTCGGTGTGGGCCATGCTTCTGGCTTAACGCTGTATCATTGTGCTCCAGTTATTGTGGACACTGGCCCCACGCCACACTAAACAAAAGCTGAATCCCTTCCGCTGGTAAAGCTGCGTACACTTTGGCTAATCCTGCGCTGAGCAGCCCAGTTGTGAGAAGTGCAGAGCTCGCAGTCTCCACATGCGCTTCTCCAACAAAAAGATGACATCACCTCTCGCTTCTGTCAGTGTGAAAGAGGAAAAGCAATTCGACTCGCACATTCTCCGGAAATGACCCATTACACATTCTATTTTTCCTGTTGCCTGTCAATGAAAACATCAAAAAGCATCAAGTAACTTAAAGCTGGGGTCCCAAACTTTGAAAATACTAAATTATGTACTACGTCCTAATATCAATCCAACTATAGTTCCTTTTGTTTCTGTTTTGTGTATTGCATTAATATTTTTCACATCTTTAGATCAGCTTTTCCAGACAGGAAAGTGAAAACAAAAATCACCTCAAGGGCTCAAATAATGGCTCACAGTCAAATATGCAAAAATGTACATGTTTCGCAATGAGATAAAGTATGTAGTTTATGCCCTTAATACAGACATCAGGCTCTGCTCTCTGGGCCCTACAGTCACTCACCCCTCTGAAGTTGCTCATGGCCTGGAAGTAGACAAGGTAGCTCTTGCGAGGGTCCAAGGGGGTGTTCCAGTAGCCGTTGTAAGTGTGGTTGTCACCCACAGTGAAGGGACTTGCCTCGGGCAGGCTGCTAGGGGGAAGCTCCGCCGTGTAGTAGTGAGGGGTGCCCCGGGCTTGAGCCTCTCCGTGGGACATGGGCAGAGGGAAGCAGTCCTGGTGGCCCAGCTCACGCCTCAGTCTCTTCACCATCTCCTCCTCAACCACCACCTGGTACGTGCTAAACACACAGGGGAGACTGGTAAGAATGGTTTTGTAATTTCATAGACTTTTTTTTCATTCATAAATGCTCGAAGGAGACACACACACACACACACACATGACTGCATGCGCACCCACACACGCGCACACACACACATGCAGCAGTAATAACAACAGAAATGTAACTGGATTCTCTTTGCTCATAAATTGTGATATGAGAAATAAAGGGACAAATCTGTCATTCCATAAAATAAAAAGTGCATATACACATTTATTTTATAGATTATTTTAAATTGTTCTCAGTTTGGTTCTATTCTCTAATCCAATCAAAAATTCAACACTTGTTACAAGGACGGGAACTGAGGACAAAACTGCTGAACCAATCCCAAATTGCAGAACTGAGAATGCAGAAGTTGCCCTGCATTCAATGTGATGTCACTTTCTCCTTCCCTGTCCTTCCATCTCACTGTTATTGACATTCGTGGCATACCATTGACCAAAGTGTCAGTAAAAACATCTTTACAATGTGTTAAATGTCAAATGACCAAACCTGGAGAGGCACTGTCTCAGGAGGTACTCTGGCTCAATTTGGATGCAACCGAATTGCTTTGTGCAAAAACCGAGATGGCGGTTGCCACACGTTTGTCTGTTATTTAAAAACAGATTATAAGAGTAGTCATTCTACACACAGTGAGAAACAGCCGAGTGCATTTGCACGCATGTGTTTGATGTTAATATAAGCAGTAAAAAATTCTAAAAGCTTTTCTGCAACCACTTCCTGTGTTCTGTCAAAAAAAATGTATCAGTTTTTGTTAACTTGTGTGGATCTGGCTGCTCAGACTAATGTTTCCCTTTGAGTATTCAAACCCTGTGTTCCATTCAAACATATTTTAACCCTGGACTTTTATTTTAAATTCTTTAAACAACCTTTTGATTTGCAGTCCTACATTTTGGGATATCCTTTGTTATGCAACGTTACAATATGAGCGCTACTATTTAACCTGATAAACCTCCTGATTCCTATCCAGAGCTGTCTGAGAACAATGGGGAATGTTAGTGATGTAGACTGTATACTTGCAATTAACTAATTATGATTTATGTTTCATATCCTAAATTCGTATTGGTAAGAAATGTTTTCATATTGTGAACACTGTGTGTACACTGCTAAAAAGAGTTGGATATTATACCACTGCTCTTTTTCGCTCCTGTTCACTCATAATTTCTCTGTTAACAGTGACTGGCTGACCTGACGGGTGCGCCTCTGCCCTGGGCCGGCCGCAGGAGCACAGTGATGGTGCTCTCAGTCTCACCCAGAGGGGATGGGACGTCTCCATAGTCAAAGGTGGGGGCTGTGAACACAAAAAACAAACATGATGATGATTGATGCAACTTTAACTACAAATGAAGACACATTCTGAGGAAACGTGATTGATATTCTGATTAAACTGATTAAACAATGTCTTTACGGAAGCTACCCCAAAGTGCAGCCGCAAGAATTAGCATACAGCATATCCACAGTTCTTAAAAGGTTTTTTTCAACGCAATTTAAATGTTCAACTGATTCTAATACACCAGGCAATACACCACGATGTACAATGGAGACAGGAGCGGAGACGATTCATGGTCCGAAACAAGTGATTCAGGCAAAAATCCACTGGATCAACACCATCCATTCACTCTCTCATTTACATTCATACCTACTGTGCATGTTTTTAGTGGTAGGGGAATCCGGAGCACCCAGAGGAAACCTACGCAGACACAGGGAAAACATGCAAACTCCACTCAGAAAGGCCCAGTTCCGAGCAGGATTCGAAACCCAGGACCTTCTTGCTGAGAAGCGAGAGTGCTATCCACTCAGCCACCGTGCCGCCCAAAACAAGCAAAGCATTTAGAATTTACTTTGGATTAGAGCAGAACCACCTCTGCTGCTGTGACCTGTCCTGCTCCGCCCAGTTGCTGCACCGCTGTGACCTGAAGTGCTGTTTCTTATTATTACTATTGTTTTTTAGACTGATCCTTTTATTTGTTTTGTTTGTGTGGATGGATGTGTTTTTGCTGCTACTGCACACCTGAAATTTTCCTATAATAAAGTATATATATATATATCCATCTAATCATATCAATGGATGTGTTAACAATTGATGGCGCATTTTTATTGCCTCGCTTCTGTCAGTGTGCCCCGGGGCAGCAGTGGCTACAGTAATAGTTTATCACCACCGTGTATGGAGTGAATGAATAATGTCATGTAAAGCGTCTTTGAGTGTCCAAAAAAGCGCTATATAAAACCGATGCATTATTATTATTATTATAAGTCCCCAGTCTGCCAGCCTGGACTTCCTGTGGACCTGCCATATACTGTATACGAGGAGACATGGTCCTACCCAGATATATATACATACATATAATTGGCAATCTATCTTGCTCATTTAGAGAACATTTTGTATTTTAAAGTACACTAAAGGACCAATCAGATAATAAATACATTCTTCTCTCATATTGAATTAGCGGTGGAAGAAGGATAGGAGTTGACATTCTGTGGTGTTCTCTCTGTAGCACAGCGGATGTTAAAATGCAGGTGCTCCGTGCTGTGTAGTGGAGCCCTACAGGACACAGGCTGTACACAAGAGCACCTTTATGGAAATGTGTGTATGCGCCTTAGAGAGGATCTCCACTGAAGAAGCTGACAGCGGCGGCGCCTTTTCTCTGTTCGTTGCTGTCGGCGCACATTTCAAAGACGTTCAGTGGAAGTGAATGTTGTGGTGTGCACAAAGGTGGAGCTCCCATTGGGCAAAAGGCTGCTACTGAGGGCCACGAACCTGTAGGGGTTCCAATAAACTGCCATTAACCAATGTCTCAAACATGAAATTGGGACAGTAAATAGGTCTAAAAAGGGCACCTTCGAGCTTATCCAAATTTCACAACACAAGGACTCAAACGTATAAACCATGAAAAATATAAAAATAAACTATGCAGGGGCCATGTTTGCATTAGTGCATTCCAGTACCTGTTACAGTGCCAGGGCTGCCCTGCGTCACCTATATGTTCATTGTCCTGGTCAAAATGTATTGGTGTAGCATATGATTCACTGGCTCCAACATACACTGGGACAGTTCAGAGCCAAGACACGACTGGGATGAAAATCAGCACCTCCAAATCCAAGGCCATGGTCCTAGACGGGAGAAAGGTGCCTTATTCTCTCCCGGTTTCTCCCTGAGGAAGTGAGTGGACATCCCCTTGTGCTTGTTCTGACTGTCTAATATCATAAACATCCTCTCTCTTCCTCAACTAAACTTGATGGCAGTGTCGTCTTAGCTGTAGTTTATCAGAAGCACTTGTTTTCATTCCATTTTCTCTACACATAAAACTGAAAGTGGACCTTGCATATAAAGACTCAGGAAGTATCATCAGCCATCATCAGATGACGGGTGACAGTTCTGAACATACAGTAGCTTGCAGCTCTTGAGCCAAAACATGCTAAAATGGTACATACATTTCATTGGTATCTGTATTTTGTCTTTGAAGCTCAAACTGGTAAGTTTCCACTCAGACTGCAACCTCCTGGTCCCTACTAAAGCTGAAGAAAAAGGATGGAACTGACAGGAAAAAGGAAAAAAGAAAAGAATAAGAAAATACCTGACCTGATAGCTAAAAAAAACCCCGTAAATAAAGCACATGAGAGAGCAAAAGCTCTACTGGCTCTGCAGACTTCTGAACTCCATCAGTGCCAGAAACAGCATATTGTGTAGGGCAGTGAGTCAAAGATTATTATAAATCTATAATTAAACAAAGCCGTTTGTGGAGCGTCTGGGGCACAGAGAAGGACTATGACAAAGGGGGAGTGGTTGGGCTGCTGTTCCTAAGAGCTATAATCCATTCCCATAACAAGCACAAATGCATCATAAAAAAAAAAAAGAAACTCAAAGGCTGCGTTTGTATCAGCGGTAATAAGCTTGGAGAGTCTCACAAGTGACATTACGGTCCCAGGTACAGTCTTGCATATTCTTTTGAACATAAAGTACTGTAGACTCCCCTCTGAGATCTTTTTTACACTTTCTCTGAGTTAATTTATGTGTCGAGAGGCGAGAGCAGACAGCGTGCCGTAAGTTTGAAGTAACTAGTTCTAACAGTTGGAAGCAATGCTGAGGTAGACAACACAGTAAGACACATACTAATAATTGCCGCTGTAAAAGCACTGACTTTTCATTTCAGCGTTCTATTTCATGCAGTATTTTGAAGACCTCGCTCTAGTTTGACAAAATAGTGAAAAAGGTGCACTTTTTTCTAAAGCTATTTAAAAACGACATGATCAGCAAATGTCTGCTAGATTCTGGGTGACACGTTCCCGTCTGTCGTGGTTCCGGCACAGGTCCAAAAAACATGCTTACCTTTCCCACGGTGGTCCTGGGTTGACGCACAACACGTATCAAAAAACTGCCATGGGAAATAGCCTTAAAATACCAAGGAAAGTACTCATCAGGGTTTATTACGGGAGCAGCAGAATCACAGAGAGGGATGGGCAGAAGTAGGACAATGTCATCAGGAAGTCCAGCTCAGTCCTGGGCTGGACTATGGCTGTCAACCCTCACAGGACACTCTCTCGGCTCTGGAGAGCAGTTTCAGTGACAGATTTATTCACGACAGACTCATTAAATGTGTGAAGGAGGGTTCCACAGGTCTTTCCTTCCTGCTGCTGTCAGACTGTACAATGAGAACTGCTGAGTCTATACACGTGCCATTCACCTGTTCTGATCATTTCGGATAATCGTCATTTTAGTTGCTAGTTAATTTACCTGCAGCTATCATAATATTACATCATTACATATTTTATTAATCTGATAATTCTGTTATGATAAATTACTATTTACTTTACCTGCTTCTATTATTACTATTGTTTATTCCAGTCATATTGTCTGCTGTAAAAGTACAATATAAGCATCTGTAAATAACACATGATACTGCTAACTACAGTTTATACTCAACAAATGACTTATCCTTGAACCAAGTGCAATTAAGGCTCCATAGTTGTATTTTCTAACCCTAACCTGAATCTGTGGAATAGGACTAATAACATATAAAGCAGTGGACGTGTCTCTGTGGAGATGAAGGGGGGAAATGGCGTCTCATTTGTCAGAAAATATAAATGACTCAAACGTGTTTCATGACTCAGAAAAACTAAAATACAGTGTATCTCTGGAATGGGACTTGAGACTGACACGGGACAGCATTCTCAATCTTGTCCTGTCCCTCTCCCATGAAAAACATCCTGTCCCATCGCACAACCATGAATCCCCCTCCCACCCCTCCTGTACACCAATTAAAAGCTGAAACATACATTGCATTGTACTTTTCAAAATCTTTTATGGAGAGAACTAAGGGTATTAGTTTTTTTTATTTTCCCCACATTAAAATATCTGGTTTGACAAACATGTTAGGGTTAGAATCCGAATAATTTTAATTGCCATTGTAATTAACAGGAAGTCACAAACTAGAAATCTGATTTGGCTGAAGGTGCACATTAAAGCAAGTCATTAAAGTAAAAATAGACTGAAGGCATGCATAAATAATCCAAGTGCCAAAATACCAAGTGCACTAAGTAAAAGCAAAACACATTTAACAGTGTATTCAAGTGACAAAAGTATAAGGTGATGGTTGTGTTGTGTTTATGTTATCTTTTTAGATAATTTATAAGATAAGATAAAACTTTATTCATCACTCAAAGGGAAATTTTAATGTCATCATTTAGCACATTGGGTAAATAGGTTATTCAGTTTGTACACATAATACAGGATGTTATTGTAGATAATTGAAAATAAAATAACAAAATATTAAGATAAAAATAAAATGAAACTCTAGAGCTATAATTGCACTTGGTTCAAGGATAAGTACCTCGTGGAGTATACACTGCAGCATAATATGACCAGAATAAACATCCATCCATCCATCTTCTTCCCCTTTGTCCATTCCACCCAATTTACAGAGCACCAACCAGTGATGACACAGCCTTGACATTTCAGCGGGGGCTTCAGGCAAAGTGGGGTTAAGTGTCTTTCCCAAGGACACAACGATAGCAGACATTAGTGGGAGTTGGTGGAAAGGGTCTCGTGGTGGGCTTGAACCCACAACCTTAAAGGCACACCGCGGACTTTGTGACCTAAAGAGTTGACACATATGAGTTATTTTATATGAATACTTGGGCCAATATACAGCGCTTGACACTTGCAATGCTCCGAGCGGGGCTGCCCTCTTGAAATACCGCCCATGTAAGTTTCGAGCAGACGGACCGTCTGCCACCAGGTCACGTGACTTGGAAGAAAGACTTGCTTTACGGCTACAGGCGCTGATATACTCATGGAGCTAAGGCTTTTGCTACTCATTTTTCACCTGCTCGACTCCTGGTCATGGCTGAGGCAAGGAAAAATTTTAAACCTTCGGAGGAGGCTAAAAAGAGGAAACGCGAAAGGGATCGTGCTGTAAGCTGCATGTCTGTATGAGCGCTGCTCTTCACCTGGTTCCTGGATGTCATCGACTGCAAAGATGTCATTCCACGCAGCACGAGCTAGACGCAGAACTCCCTCATCCAGGATATAGAAGTCCATGTGTGGTAGATTACTAATGCAGCGGTCTGGAGGCTGACCACAGCAGAGTCTCTCAATATCTGTAGGCATGTCTCTACAGTTTGAACACACACACCAGTGCATGCTGTCTGAATACACACTCAAAAGACACCGGCTGACTGTTTGTTGACTTTTGCGACAGTGCTGAGTTGCTTGTGGCCACTAGGGGCGCTAAACGTGAAAGTTGCAGGTCTAGCGCCCCTAGTGGCCAAGAGTTACACGGTGTGCCTTTAAGGCTCAAAGGCCAAAGCTCTACCAACTGAGCCACTGTTGCCCCTCCCCTAGAATTAACAATATGACTGAATAGTGAATTATCAGAACAGATTCAACAGATGAATGGAATATGTGCTAATGTAGTAATAATAACTGCACAGAGCATGAAGTCTCACAAATCTCACAAAAACAATGCAAGCAAAAAATATTGAAATTTGTGAATCTAAACAAAACCAGCGTCTGTCACTGTGGGGGCTAACCTGAGATGTTGGTGGTTATCTCGGTCAAGGCGGTCTGTCCAAAGCCCTTTGCGGTGCGCGCTCTCACTGAGATGAGGTACGTGGTCCCTGGGTGCAGGTTGGAGAACATGTGGTACGTCTCATTCTTCAGTTTGGACACGGTCCGGCGAGGTCCTGGGACATTGATGCTGGGGTCGGACGACTCGATGCTCTGGTAACTTATCTGTGCAAAACACGGGTAACATTACAACATTTCCATCATCAAATACAGACCTGGGGTTGTTTTTAGCTTGATCTGAGATAACATCGAGGACGTCTGGGCCTCGATGCTTCTGTCTAAATTCTGTTTTCATAGCATGTAGACAGAAAGGACTAGGATAATTTTAGTACATTCTGAAATTTCCCCACTGTGGGAGGAACAAAGGATCTCGAGGGAGGAGACGTCTGAGTTTTTAACCTCAATATCATTTGAAATCAGAAATCATGTACTCTCCTTGGCTTCACGCAATCTCATTCAATGATGATTTGTGGGATATCATTCAATATCTACAAAGTATGGTCCAAAGCATTCAACATTTCTGTCTGGGTGTGTAAACTTTCCAGCAAAACCGTATGTGAAGATTGATTGATTAATCCAATGATAATGGCAACACTGAAGGTCTTTTTTCTTACCCGTTTCTATGATTCTGCTCAATTTTTCACACATAAAATGAATAAGAACATAAAACTGTTGCCAGGCAGGAGAGAAAACTGCATATAAACCCATAGTAAAAGTCAAAGTCATTTTGGACTCGTTTATTGCCTCTATTGTTATTGCAGCTCATATTTTTCAAAGAGGGCCAGGTTGAGCCTGGTAATTGTTTCATACTTTTACACTGAATAGAGGTTATGAAGTGCCATAAAAATGTAACAAAAAGCTCTGATTGAAGTAATTCACACAAATGCCTCCATGCACTCAAATAATATGCATTTAGGCAAGTGAGAAGAATAGAAGCTGATTACAGTGGAAGGCCGCTCAAAAACTTGTTTGGAAAAGCACAGACTTCTAAAGATAATGAGAGACTGCAGGCCTTAGTGCTGTCACCAGATAATATTACAGAGTGCTTTGAAATTAAATTTGAATTCATATTTCAAGTTCTTTCTACAATGAGAAGATACAAGAGAAATGGGGTTCATCTTCTTGATATAAAGTAGCTCAATAGAGTTAAGTAAAATTTATCAGCAGAAACTTTAATTGTACTTATTCAATGTGACCATGTAAGCCTGTAGTATCATTAGAATCTTTTAAGTATTTTTCATATGTATTTTATTGAAAGCAATTCCTCTCCTTGACCTAACCCCTACCAGTAATATTTTCTACAGGAGAATAGTTAGAACAATGGTGAGCAGTCTCGGCTGGGGCAGGTCGAATTGGCGCTTGCATTCAAAAAAAGTATACATCTTCAATATTAATAAAGTAACTAAAGCCTGGTTCACACGGCAGGATAATTAGGCCGATTTTGGACCCGATTTACCCCTACGACAATCGTAAGAACGCTCCGAATATCGTAACAAAAAATCTGATGGATTTTCCTGCCGTGTGTGGTGTGTTAAGACTGTGCTCGTCGCTCGGAAGGACTTCGGGACTGCTCCGATCTCAATATCGGGGATATCCAACATGTTGGATTGTTTTGGCCCAATTTCTCTTCGTGTGTGGTGTCCCCCAAGGACAGACGAGCGCGTTGCCATGACTGCGGCGTGTAGCCAATCAGAAGATGAGACGAGGCGGCGAGGAAACACCCTAAAAAAACAACTCACCTCCAAATCACGTTGTAGAAAGTATTGTCCATGCTCACGTTGTCTACACTTCTTTGACCATCGCCTTTTCTTTTGATTACGTCTTTTCTCAGATAAAAACAAACTATCGCCAATGCATCCTCTTGGTCCGCCATGTGTGTTTACTCTGAAGTCAGGCTTGATCTCGAGAGATTTTGTGAGATTTCCGTCTGCTCTGTGAATGCTCGGGGGTGAAATCGGTTCGTGTGTGATATGTGTGGTTTGCGTTATTTTGCCGTGTGGCTGCGCACCACACACTGTACGACCAAAGTGGTTAGACCCTTGAGTTTTTTATCTCTGTGTGTGGGGTCTCACACAGAGAAAAAAATCGGCCGACAATTTTAAAATCGTCTCGTGTGAACCAGGCTTAACCTTCACTTTGAACATAGCGCAAGCAAGAGAAGGTCTAGACAACAGGGTGTGATCAGGACCAATTTAGAGTCCCCACCAACATACACCAAGCGTTCTGCGTAACACAATGTAGGCGTGTGCGTGTATAGTCGAAAGCTTTACTGTTTCCAGATGCTCTCTCTGCTTGCCTGTGCATAGCTTTCTGATGTTCAGGTTATTTTCGGACATCTTCTATAATTTTTTTAGACTTATCTCACTCAACAGACATGAGTAGCCTTAAATGGGACAATGCTGTTCTTTATAAAGGGTTCGTACAGCTTTTGAAGTGTAAAATTCAAGCAGCTTTCAAGAACTTTCAAGGTAAAATGGGAACTTTTTCAAGGAACTTACGTTTTAATAGAAATTCATGAATTAAATTGGATCATGTTGCATCTTAGCCCTGCCTTGTTCTCGAAGTGTCGGTGAAACGTACAACTTTGTTCCTCCGAGGACATTGCGAAAATTGTAAAAGAAAGTAATATTAACCCAGGGGAGAGGTGAGGTGTGGGCAGCAGTGAGAGCAATGACAGTAACATATAAAAGGATATAAAAACAAAAACATGCATGAATCGTGTTAAAAACAGCTTTCCATATGTGCAACACGAGAAGGGAAATCATCTATGACATGGCCAAAAGATTTGCTAGGTTTTAAATGGACATGAATATTCACGGCTATACCTGCTTGTCAATAGAGGAATTGTATTAGCACGTACTTACACAAGCTAAACTTCTAACTAAAAACGCACAAGGCCTTTCTTCTCCTGGTTGAAGATGTTTTGAGAGCTGAGGGAAGGCAACTATTCTATCAACCAGCTCTGTAGAGTCTATTTCAAAATACAGCTCGATTTTCCTGTCTTTCCCGCAGTGATGAGCCAGTATGTGCCGCGTTGACGCATAGAAAATAGGAATCCATCCCATCCATAACGTAATTACGCTTGTTCGACATGCACATTTCACTGCTGGTGTGAACTGTCAGGCTCATTACAATGAAAAGATTCTCATTGTAAACGTTTCTTGCACATATAACATACTGTATGTGTCTAGGTTTACGTGCCAAAGACTCGCCAAAGACGTCGGGAGTTATTTGAAGCACACTTTGAGCGCAGCCTCCTCTTCACATGTCAGGTCACAGATCCCACTTAACACACTGGAGGCATGAGAGAGGCCGCACGCTGGTCAGTCACTTTGTATTTGAAAGTACTACGCAAACATAAGTGCTTTAAACATGGACCACAGCGGGAACGGCCTCTGCTCCATTTCACAATGGACTTCGCCAGGATTTAATAAGATAATCTGAATAATTTGGGAACTTTGTTAAAAAATATTTAGACATTCACCTTACTGTCCGAGGAATGCATGATATTTGATGATGTAATAGTGTACAGCAGGAGTCTCCAACCTTTAATCTCCCAGGAGCTGCATTTTCAAGACAAAAGTAGCAGAGAGCTTTAAGCAATCTAAAGACAACTTGAGTCCAAATAATTGTGAACTCATCTCTTGCATAATGGTAGAAAATATATTCTCCTGCTATCATTTTTCAAGAAGAAATAGTCGAGGTCTGATGATCTGAGACCTTGACAGTTCAGAAGGAACAAGTAAATCACAAATTCCACAAGTTGCCTCATTCTAGGCAGATGAAGATCGAAGATCATACAGCAAATGTTGATGTTTTGTTTTATGTATTTCATTTTTCATTTTCTTTTTGTAAGTTGCCTTTACTTTAATTGTTCTATCGCCGTCTGAATAAATGGATAAATAAATAACAAATACAGTGGGATGCAAAAAGTACTAATACAACATGAACATTTGTACATTCTATTTTATTTAAAACCATGAACACATTTTATGTTGGATTTTGTTCAATGAAAGACCACAACAAAGAAACAGTGAATATGTTTTATTTCAAACATATTCATGAGTTATACAGAATATTGGGCTGGAGTCACATTTACTGACCTCCGGGGACTTCCATCTGGCTGTCTAGACACCCAGAAAAGAAACCAATCCTAACTCTGTTCTGTCTTCAGTATATGATGTATATATATATTTAATTTTTTTCTACTGTTGAAACCAAATTGATCTTTTGTGAATAATAAAGACCCTTTGAACCTTCATTATATGAAAAGCCTTTATGTTTAAGTTTGTTTCTTGACAAAAGTTGTATTGACACTTTTGCAAGCGACTGCATATGAAGGAGCCAGATTTTGGAGGGCTTTATGAACAAGCACAAGCATTTTGAAGTCAATCAGGGTCTGAATCGGAGCCAATGAAGATCTTTAATGTGTGTAATGTGGGATCAGAAAACCAACCGCAGATTTTGAATGAGCTGCAGTCAAGTAAGTAAGCAAGCAAGTAATCTTTATTCATTTAAAGCCAGTCACAAAGCGCTTTACAAATGATGGGGATTTTTTGGGCATTTGTCCTCTCACTCCACACAGAGATGGGGGTGGGGTCGCCATACCAAACGCATGCCAAACCTATTGCACAGGGTTTTAGTGGTAGGGGAAACCAGAGCACCCGAAGGAAACCTATGTAGGACCAATTTAACAGGAAGAACTGAGAAGAGAAAGTCACAATAGTCTACTTGTGAAAGGAATTTGTTTCAGCATCATTTCACCACCTGGTTTAATGGTGTTCTCAGAGGTCTCCCATCACAGTACTAACCAGGCCCTACCCTGCACAGCTTCAGAGGTCTGTTAGGATCCGGCTTTCGCATGCAAGTGTGGCCACAACACTTCATTTGACCAAACTAACAGTGCATGAAAACAAGACTAAACCATTAAATAATGATCTGCCATAAGGAGAAAAGTGTTTAAACCTGCAGCAGCTCACCTCATACTGCGTGATGAGGCCGTTTGGTTCCACTGGCTCCTCCCACTTGAGGAAGATCATGTCATCCAGGGGGGTGAAGGTCAGTGATTCTGGCGCGATGCCCCCAGGAACTTTGGGAAATATCAAAGCAAACAATGGTTATAAAACTGAAGGGCTTCTGATCCCATAGTGAGCCTGAACTGTCAATATGAGAGAAATGAGCTGAGAAAAAGACGTCCACAGACAGCAGCATCTACGAAAGAGCGCGGCGAATCATGAAGGCTATCAATTAAACAAAAACAGAAGCCATTAATTATCAAAACACAATATAAGATCCATCAATTATATAAACACAATACGAGAGCAGGAAAACTGCATTATGGATTTATGTCTGTGGCTGCGGAAGGAGTTCGAGGAGATCAGATGGAATGATAACCGTGATACGGTGATATTAAAATAAATGGAACAAATGCGTAATAAATAGCTTTAGTCACACATTCATAATTTCGGGGATGTAGCCTTATATGCAACATGGGGTTTCTGGGCCGTTTCTGAACAGTCAGGTGAGTCCCTGTGAATGATAGGATCATGGTAAATGTATCCCATTTACCAACGTTCATTTTGTGGCATGAAGCTGGCAATAACTCTGTGATAAACTGTTGAGAACATTGCTAATCACAATTGGTCATACAGGAGCACATGTCTCTTTCTGCAAACTGGTTGCACGTGCCTCCGGGCCCTATGTCAGCATCATGTTATGGACCTGCTTTTCCTAAGACAATAAGATGTCCAATAATATAAACAAAATATGTGAATTTTTTGCTGATTCACGGTGGATGTTTACCTCCCATTGAGGCTATTCCCAGACTTTTCATACAAAGGAACCATTTATGTGTTTGAATTTCCCACTCGAAGTCCAGCCCAAGTGAAAGTTTGTGAACACTGCTTATCATGAATAATCCCCACAATTTTTTTTATTTTTATTTTTTCAAATATTAAAAGCATAGTTAACAACACTAACTAGCACAAAAGTCTGTATTGTATTTGCTTACATAATCAATTCAAGCCATTTCCTATCTAATGTCTAATTCCAATCTTTTTATATGGATTATGGTTTTACTTGAGAAAAACACAGTGCATATTGAGCTGTTACTTTGCTGCTTTAAAGGAGAAATATTAGATAAAACTTACACTTTTTTGAGATTTGTCTCGGATCCATCCACACCATTATTAGTAACTTCTGGCACAAACATGTAACTACGCCCTCTGTCCATAGCTGTCTCAGCACTGTGATAGCATGATGTCATTGTACCACTATGACATCACGCTAAGAACAGTTATCCGCTTTTGATTAATTTCTCAGGTGAAAATAAGTTTTTAAAATCCCACAAAACAAATTCAACTAGTCCCTCTGGTGGATAGGTAGTTGTAGAGTTGGTAAGTCTTTATTACGCTTCTTACCTATTTCAATACATACATTCTATGTAAGTAAATTTTGGCATTATAAGGGTTAACGGCCAAATATATCCATAATATATATTTTTTTTTAAGTCCGAAACTGCGTCATAGTAATCAACATTTACCACTGGTGTTTTTTGTGCCCACTCTTTGATGCAGACACCTACTGTTAAAAACAGTGTAGTGTGAGTCTGGCCCTGGGCAAAGAGCCAAGCAGCTGAGTCGACTGTTATGGCTGCGTAAAGTAAGGGGACAAAGTTGCTTATTAAGGCTTTTGGAGAAAGCGATTATAATTGACGTGCGCTCCAGCCACTGTATATAAATAAACTGGGGCTTACTTTATCACGTTAGTAAAATAAATCCTTCATTTTGCTCGCTCGCTCGTTCACGGCCATCACTCACTGCGTACACAGCCGCTCAATGGGAAAAAATCGGCTTTGTTTTGATATGATTTTTCATGGACAAATTGATTTCTTCAACGGCTGGAATACAGGCAATCTGCTAAAGCTCCAAAGGACGATAGTGGATTCAAGCTGAGAACAAAAACTCTGCTGGAGCTGCCTGCGTGTTTTATGTAGTAAAGTTAAGTTTGTTATTATTCGCACAAAAATGAAAGGGTATTTTGCTACTAACGCAAGTCAAAAGGACAGTCACTTTTTTTGATCACGACAAGAAACAAGAAAAAACTGAACGCTATCAATTATGCTTAGAAGATTCCCAAACCCTGTCTATTGTACTAGGCCGACCTCTCATTAGACTAACATGTTTCAGTTTAATGTAATTTAATACATAAAGCACATTTAACATGCATTTAAAATTTGATTATTTTTTTTATTTGAGCTTTCCAACCACAACTCCATCGGACATATTCCTGCCTCTATAACAGTTTGGTTTTGGCAAGCATGTATTTTTGGGCTTTGTCATATCTCTTATGCCTGAGTGACATTCCCCTATACACGCTGTTCGTTTCTCTCCCATCCTCACTGTTTCTACAGTCAAAATGACTACAATGGAGGCCACAGCATTCAACCATTCAACCTCCAAACTCTGGAACACTCTACCCATTCACCTGAGTAAGTTGGACTTTTTAGAAATCTTTTCAAATTGGCTAAGATGTCAAAAATTTGACTATTTGTATTGTGTGATTCTATTTAATGTTAATTTAAAGTGTCCTTTGGTGGAGTTTATTAACTCTTGATTTTAAATTAATGTAAATACATTTAATGCTCCTAATCAAAACAAGACCAAAACCCCCAGATTACTTCTACACAATGTTCAGGATGAGGGCAATGAACTTCATGTGGATTTTGGACACAATAAAGGAGAATTGTCTGAATGATGGCTGCAATTCCACTAATTGGATTGATGCATCTATTTTTGCCATACTGCTGACCGCCCCGAGCTCCTCCCCCTGAGACCCTGAGACTTACTGTCCTCGTCGGTCTGGAAGGTGACCTCGCGGCCCTCCTTCTTGCCTTCGGGATTGGACAGTGCCAGGCGGACGTGGATGCTGTGGTGGGGGGGCAGGTCTCTCAGGGTGAAGTGGGACGTGTTGTGTTCCAGCTCCAGACACTCTCTCACGGTGGTGTTGTGACCGCCGCCACCCCCTGCAGTTGTGTAGCGGTAGCACAGGGACACAGAGTAAGTGTGGCAGCGCGTCAGGTTGAAGGCCAGGTTCTCCCACTGCAGAGTGAGCTGCCTGGGCTGGATGTCCGAGGCCGTGGGGCCCTTCAGCGCACGCATTGGCTCTGGAGAATCAGAGAGACAAAAAACGATAATAGGGTTGGAATAAGACACCATTTCAGCTAGATAATATCAAATAAGATTGGGTCCATGGAAACAAGACTATTGGCAATTTACCTCTGGTTTGTGTGATGCTGGGTTGTACAAAAAACTCTTTTTTGGTTGACAATCATTCAGCATCAATTAGCAGTGATATTTTGAAAAAAAATCAACATTGTCTGACCATTATTCAAAGACCATCAAACTCATGTAAATTGGAGTGGATAAAAAGTGCAAGAGTGTACAAATGTAATCATTGTCTGACTGCATTTGTGCATTTTTTATGAGACAAAAAGCAAAATGGGAATTTGAATTGACCTTCTCACACAAGTTATTTTAATCAGGTTATAGACCAGTGCATCTCTCATATCACAAAATATTACATGTATCATATGCTTCAAAGGTTTAAAAGTTCCATCTGTGAATAAGAGGAAACTAGTCATAAACTACTGACTACTACTGCATCAAGAACACAAATAAAACTATAACCAGTTTTGGGCATGTTACTTTGAAAAAGTAATTAGTTTTAGTTACTAGTTACTTCTCCCAAAAAGTTACTAACCGAGTAACTCCACTATAAAAGTAACTAGTTACCAGTAAAACTATTACGTTACTTTTTTGTTTTGTTCTGGAACATACTGTGCACTCGACGTGCACATTTTTACCTTTAACCTCAGTGAGCTTGAAAAAGTGCAGATTGTTCCATTTAGAAAGGGCTGTTTTGCTGCTGGAGCCTCACTCTCCATCTCTCTGTGCTGTAAGCACTAAACACCAACACCCGCCGCTGTGAATGTGGAAACACCAGTGACGTGCGGTGAGGTTGGTGATTGGTGAGGCACTGACTTCACCCCAATCAGATGAACATATATCATATCAATCAAGGACCAACAGAGTGGCTAATCACAATTTGTTTGGCTACAGCAGAATATGTTTCATGCCCGCATTGTTTGCTCATACTAAACGCAAAAGTATGAAAAAGCCCATTTAAAAGTGTGTTATGGGCCTTACCTTAAACATAAACTGCACAGACCAGTTCAGTTCAGACCAGTTTCATGTTTAAAGCTGCACTACCTGACTTTATTTTTGTTTTCATTACGAAAATGCTATCCATGTCCATGTAGTGCATTGGGATATAAGTCCTTTTGAAGAAAAAGTAGGGCAGGTTTGTGCTGGTGTGACATTATAGTTTAGATTGAGTTTTGATGAAACAAGGAAGAGAATGTGTTTCGGGTCTCTGATTGTGACCAATCACAGCAGACCACTGGCCGCCACTTTCGTGAGAAATCTACAGGTCCGTTAGCATAGACTTTGATTTGTGTGTCTTCGTCACCGGTTACTGCTTACACAGCGAGACATCCATCCAAAAAAAGTCTCGTTCCTCCGCACTTCCCGGTTCTATCGTTCTATGGTCACGCCATCCAAGTGCAAATCCATGTCCATGTATTTATCCATATTGGGAGACGCTAGCTCCGTAAACAACAGTAGGTGTGTGTGGGGGGCGATAGCTTCGTGGGTGCGGGGAGGGGAGCAGAAAGAGCGAGGCCAGCGAGTCCGTGGCTTCAAAATCCCAAAGTCAGTTAGTGCAGCTTTAAGTCCAGATAATAATTTGAGCATAGATATGGAATCCTCCATTTGGAAATAAGTCCAATGAGTTTTAAAAAGTAAAACAAAACAGGTGTCTCCTCCATAAACTCCTGTTTCGCTAGCTGCACCCGAATCTCGGGTGCATCCAATTTCTAAAATCGACCTTCTTACCCTTCACCTCTTTCTCATCATTCCTATCGTCATTGGAATATTACCTTAAGTGCATTTTAAATTATCTCAAAATGTGTTATATGTATGTTAGCCAAAACTTAGCAGATGAAGAACAAGAAAGGAGCTTTCTGATGGAATCGGATGCAGCCGAATTCTGCGCTCACATGCGCCCCCCTACCCCGAGAATGGCCTCGATTAATCGCGCTCAACAGAGATCTGAACTCTGAACATTGTAAAGCGCTTTGGGTGACATTGGTCTGTAAAATGCGCTATATAAATAAACATTGCTTACTTACTTACTTAAGACCCAAAAACACAAGTCATGACCCATCCTCTCAACTGTAGACTTGTAGATTGTAAAGGAAATAGGTTTTACATCTGCCAATAATTGCTGAGAGATTATTTCATCCTCCATTCTCTCATGACACGCGCATGAGTCCTATAATGAAGTTTTAAAAAAATAGTTATTTGTGCGACTTGAGTAACGTGCAGTAACGGGGTGTCGGAAATGATAGCGGGGTTATAGTTACAGTCAAAGTAATTAGTTAGATTACTCGTTACTGAAAAAAGTAACGGCGTTAGTAACGGTTATTCCCATCTCCAATTATAACATAAGAATACTTGGATAAAAGTTATTTAAAACCACCTCACAATAGATGTAGTAGTGGTACATGGATCTCTGCAGATATTTGTGTGTGAAAAGTGAACCAGCAAATGAAAAGTGGGCAGCAGCGAAGAGAACACAGAGACATTGCCTGTTCAATTTGCATTAGAGTTTGTCAACAGGGTGGAACTTGAATGATGTCTACATATCTTCTCTGTGACAATAGCTTCTTCACCACCGTGGGAGCAGTAATACTGCGTGTTAAACAGGCCGTTTGTATTCACAGTTCAATAAAGGTGATATTATTGGTTATCCTTAAGACACCAGTTATATTTATTGTTCCTTCTATGATTTTCTTATAAAGGTGCAGTGTATGAATATATACCAGTTTTTACTACGCTGTGAGGTGCAAACTCCTTCCGAGACTAATATTATTGAGTTTAATATGATATTATGGATGTATATATTCAGTCCTCGTTTTACAGCCTGAGACCTGGGAGTGGAGATTTCTCACTATGGGCATCCCATAGGCTTCACACTTTTTTGTACACAAATAAATGTTATGGACAGCGGAGCGTCAAATCCACACATTGTTCCATTGTTTATGCAATAATAAGACTACAGAGTAAGTAAACTACCCATTACTATTGCTACTGTTGCTGAATTACATTTTGTAAAGGAAAATACAAGGAAAAAAGAAAACATCAGCAAAACAAAACCAATGGAAAGTCAATGCCTTGGACTTAAATAAAACAAAATATAGTTGCCACAATAAAAATCGGACAGCTCCAAGAATATCTAATCTTTTCTATTACCAACACACACACCAAACTTGTTCTGGAATTATACTAACACCCTCAGCTCTTGGGACCTTCTCAAATGGAAAATAAAAAGGGGTGATAGAAGTGAAAAAGATGGACCCTTTCCTGTGTGAATTATATTGGAGGATAACTGGAGTTATATGAGGCTGATATCAGCACATGGAGCAGGAGAGAGGAGAGAGGAGAGGAAATAGGGCTTTGGTACAGTGTTCTTTTCTGTGTGAAAGTAGTGTGTGTCCTTTCAATAGTATTGTGACGTTTAAGGCAGAAGTCTGATTCCGTGTGACTATTGTTTGTACATTAGAATAAGGTGAAATAACAAATACTATCATGCATGGTTGCTAACGTACAAAAAGACATAACAGGCCAATGAACTTTCAGAAAACAAAGCAACATTTTGAAACTAACGTTCTCTAATGTTAGGCTGACATTACATTCTAGATGTGCATTGACTAGAACAAACATAATTGGTAGTTGTATCCACGTTTAGTTGTGGTCGTCTTGCATCTTTAACCAGAGCAAATACTTGGGAAAGGATAAAAGCAATACACACCATGGCAGTATGTTAGTAAAAACTAAAGAAAACATTCTCTCTACAATGCATTTTAAAGAACATGGATGCTAGAATGTCCAAACATATGGGGTTGCTATATGCGCTGTGATTGGCTCATTGTGTTTGGGGGCGGGGATAAATCAATTCAAGAGGTGAATATTAAAATCTGTTATTGTGTACCTGAAAAATTAGTAATTTTCAGGGAGAACAACAATTTCCACATGATGATAAACACCAGGGTTTACTTTAGATATAGAATAGAAGTACTTTAGACCAGTGTCTCCCAAAGTGGGGTCCGCGGCCCCCTGGTGGGCCGCGAGGGTACTGCAGGGGGGCCGCGGGAGGTCATAAAAAATAAAAAATAAATTATTTAATGTTAAATTTATAATCTTTTGTTTGTAATATTAAAATATTTGTGTTCATTATTTGACTTGAATAATCCACTGTAATCATTTTTGTATTACAATGTTTGTAGCAGAGGCTATTTCCCCAAAATAAAATAACCAGAAGAGCCTATTCTTAATGTTGTCTTCTTGGTTATTATTTTGGGTTGGGCCACGCAGACCCGTCAGATTTTTAAGGGGGCCTCGGTGTTACTGAGTTTGGGAATGGCTGCTTTAGACTTAGTATGAAAACAGGTTTCCTAATATGATGTGACGGCCGGACATGACAAAAACATATGTTCGAGATTAAAGGGTGAACCATCGCAGATATCACAAATCTTTTTCTGTAGGCTGTTGTGCCAGCCTAGTCATATAGAAATAACAATTGAATAGAACTTGGACTTTATAACAAGGCACGCTTGAGTTTACTCCTGACCTCCACCTCCAGACCATCTGCTCCAGGCTCGCCCTACTGACCCGCCAATCCTCTGCTGTGCACGGATGGCCCACTTGCCCTCAGCCCAATTTGTTTGCAGGCACAAGGAAATATCAAGTGCATGGCAAGGTTCCAGCAAGCAGAAGGGTTTTCCAGACCAGGGAAAACCAAAGGGAATTCTCTATCATTACACGACTTCTGTGGTTGTGAGTTTCTCCCAAACGCGCCGGACTTGATACGCATTCTTTTGCGGGCTTGGCGCAGTCCTGGTGTGGCGGCTGTAAAGCTAATAGCCGTGAATGTGAACATGCTCGGTGCCCGGTTCGAATGGCCGCATGGGTGTTTGATGAGGCATAGCTGTGATTATCTGCACGCTGCATTAGCACAGCTTGAAGCCCCTCAAGTAAATCATGG